GGGGTGGGTGCTGGTCGATGGGATGAGTTGAAGAAGGGGGGGTGGTACTTGTCCACGACAGCTCTAAGACGCTGTTTATGGAGATCGTCCAGGTCAGTGTTGTTTCGGTTCAACAGCTCGGCACGGCCGATGACTTGAAGCACTGCCTGATGAATCGCAAAGGCGGCATCGATCACAGAGTCGATGTCAGTGAGCAGCTCAGAGGGTCCCTGAACCTGCCATTGCCGTAAGGCCTGTCGGACAGCTAGTGTAAGTTTGGGGGTGTAGTCTGTGTGCACGAGTTCCGTTGACGAGGAGGACAAGCCCCCGGCGCTAGCGGAAGGAGATGGTGGTTGCGGTTCAAGATCCATGGATCGGAAGCGAAGCGAGGAGCACAAAAATTGTTGATGGCATCGCGATAAGCGTTGCGGCCTGCGACGATGGCGACGTCACGGAAGCGAACATCCTGGAATCGAGCAACAACGGTATGGAAGAACATCAGTAAGGGTAGTAATAGGAACTTGTACAGCGACGAAGCGACTGTCGTCCCCAACGACGCGGTCAACGTCACGGACAGGCACACAATGTACACATACAACGTAAGTGTAGCACCGGAGAAGCTCAGTAGGCTCACGTATAACAGTGCTATTCAACAGCGCGTCCACGCTGAAGACCTTTGAACCGCGACCCGCACCTCCGAGAGGAAAGAGAGGAAGTATGTGCGACCTGGTAGAATGAACAACGAGCCACGCAGGAACGCAACACGCCGGTGCAGCGCAGTCGAGAACGACCGTAATCGATGCACGAGGTAGCGGTACACAATGCTAACGAGCAACGAAGCGAACAACACCAACGTGTCCGCAGGCAATATGGAGACCGCTCCAATGCGCAAACTCCAGGTAAAAACCGCACAGGTCTCACCGAGGAACTGACAGACAATGTTCACGAACGACCGAGCGTGCGAGAAAGCAAGCGACGCCAACCAACGTGCGGGCGATGACACAAGTGAAGGCGACGTAATGGACTGAACGTAGAACACCATGGACAGAGACGAAGACAGGGGTGAGAGGACGTCCCAGATCAGCAAGAGGCAGAAGAAGACGGTGCAGGTACGACGAAGGCAACAAGCAGCAAGGGCACCATGATGACACAAGCATACACAGGTGATCGTGCAGTATGTAAGCGACGCTGCGCCATTATGGATAGCCAAATAACATTCTGTTATTCGGAATGTGAGTGGTGTTGCCATCTCTCTTTGCGTGACTTCCATCTGTTCAGGAGGAGGTCGAGCCACTTGCACAGAAGATGAGCCTCTATTGTAGGCTGCAGCAGGAGTCCAGCAGCGTCCTCGCAAAGGATGTCACACGGCGGGACAAGATGCTTGCAATGGTAGCACAGTCACACCACCCCAATGTCTCTCACACATTGGATCCAAATGCATTTGGCAGCGGAGAGAAAGTGGACGAATTGTTGGCCCAATATGATGCTTTTTGTTGCACAGACACCGGTGACGTACGAGGAGTGAGTGCGCTGCATCTTACATTCTCATTCTCTGATCAAAGAATATGGAGAGCTAATCCATTACTGTGTCAAGTCATTCCCTTCGTTTCTCGTATGCGACTGCAGCCACTATTGTGTTCGACGCACACAAGGTGGCTCCTCTGATAAGCAGAGGCGACAAAGAGTATATGGCATACATCAAGCGTGAGAGTGAGCTGTATGTCCTGACTTGATATCATTTCTGTCATTTGTTCACTTATACATACAGGATGGATGAGTGGCTTAAACCTATGACGATGGCCAATCAAAAACATGCTGCATCCGCTTCGTCATCGCAGAATGCCCACAACGGCCTCACCGCGATCGCTAGCTCTGGCTCTGGCGGTGCAGTCACAGATGCTGAAGCGAACACTCTCCTCAATAGCCCAGGCGACCTTCTAAAGCAATGATTTGTTCAGATCTTTCCGAGGGTGATAAGGGTGTCTGGAAGGTCAAGTCGCTTACTATGAAAGATGATGGAAGGTTCAAATATGAAGTTTTGCTTGCGGACTATGATGCCACGATTGCTGTCACGATGGATGAGCTACGGAGGCTTATGATGGAAAGCCGACTCTCTCGAATGTAGATACAAGATATGGTAATGTGTACATGGAAGAAAAGGGGACAAAACATTAGTACACTGATCCAATTACAATTTCGCCTTGACTTCGCCCTCCTTTTTCTTCGCCTCCGCAACAGCAGCTCTGTCCATCATCTGCCGTGTCTCTGTCGCAGCCTCCGCGAGGTAACGTTTCAGCTCTGCCGTCCTCCGCTTCAAGCTCGTGATGGTCCATCGGATGTAATCATCTCCAATCGAATAGGACAAGCCGTAGCCATCCGGAACGACTAAACCGCATGTCAGCCAAACAGTTACGAGCCCGTAAACGAGTCCCACGAACCTTCGCCATAGCCCCATCCGTCCAAGAACGGCGAAGACAAATTCGAGGTCGACAGCTCCCAGTGGTTGGTCTTCGAGAATGCCTCATCCGTGTATATAGGCGGGACAGGTTCGCCTTCCCGAAGCATCATCTTCAAGCCGAACAAGTGGCGATCCAACCCTTGGCCATCGGCAGCCCATGCGGCGTACTGCAGGTGTCGAGCCACCGCCCTGCGGAAGAGGATCGCACGGTGTTCGTCCTGATTCCATTTCGTTTCAGAAAACTAGAAGCCAGCGGGCACTCGGGATACGTACCGATTCTGCCGGATTGAGCATAGACTCCGCCCACGCCTTGCTCTCGTTGCTTGCGCTTCGAATAACCTCCGTGCGTCCGAGCTGGAACTTGCGCGTCTGGCAACTCTCGTAACAGACTCCGGGCCTGTTGAACATCTTGTGGAAGGCGAGTTGCTTGACAAGCTGCGCCCACGCGTCGGGAGAAGCTTTGTACTTCTTTATTTGATTTTTGCCGTAGCCCTCGTAGTGCAGGACCTAACGCATAGACATGAAATCCCACTCTGCCCGAAGGAGAAAGCAGATCATGACGTACGTGGAGATTGTGCTTGCCAACGAGCTCATCGAACGCAGATTCCGCCTGCTGAACATACTGCCGCGCCTTAGCGTTCACGACAAACGACAGTTCAGCGGGAGCCTCCAGGTCTCTGCCAGTCTCCGCTGTGCGATCAGGACCCAAGTCGATCTTTCCAGCAGCAAGTGATGCGAGTATGAACTCGTTCAAACGCAGCGTCGGAGTGCCATCCATGCATGAGTGTTCACCGAGGAAACCAGACTTGCCGTTCTCGAAAACGATAACTGCGTAGCGCCATCAATTAGCGCAATGTCAAACATTTGCAATCCAGGCGAACGTACGTTGGTGCTTGTCGTAGAAGCGGTTCCTGCCGTCGCCTACCCAGCAGCCCCAACTCGCTTCATCGCGTGTGATAGCTGCAGAGTCATCGAGACAGACAATCAGCATCGCAGATTCGATCGCCTCGAGCGAGACCGCATTTGATGGCGATGCGGCCAAAAGGGCAGCACGGGCCTTGTACTTATTAGCGAGCTTGCACACGTATCTGACGAACGCGACTTACGTCGGCCCAATTGTCCCGGTTCTCGCTGGTTAACGCACCGATGGGGACAGCCTTCTCACTACCCGCCATAGAGATGATCTTCTCGATCTGCGCCTCGAGTTCAGCCGCGGAGAGCTCACGGCCGCCCTTATCCGCAAGCGGGACCTTGAAGAACTTGTTTTTCCGCACAAACACTACATGGTTGTTCGTCGTCGGGTCGAACTTGCGTGCCGTGTCGGAGGGCTTGACGGGGTATCGAGAGGAGTGGAATCTGGGGAGTGTACTTTAGAGTTGTCCTCGTTACTTGAATATCAGAACGTACAGCCATTTATATGACTCCATGGAAAGCGGCATGCTGCGCACTTTATCAGGTTCCAGCTGTTTACTGGAATAAGAGGGTCATCGGTCTGCCTGTATTGAGCCTGCAATTTGGAGTTGAGACTCACCTCTCGACCAGATCCCTGAACGGTAACATCGCTTTGAGCAATTGTGCTGCCCGCCTCGCTTGACCCGGCGCGCGCTTGTCATCTACATGCACGTAGAAGTAGCTCACGTACACCACCACCGGATCACGGTAGCCCATGTATGCGATGTCGTTCCACCATTCCGACAGCCAATTCCGCACATTGGGGTCCGCCGCACGCGCTTCAAGACGCGCCTGCAGCTCCTTGGCCAGGGCTGATTCCGCGAACGTCTTTACCGCAGACCGGGTCGCAGAGTACTGCGCAGGCGTAAGATGGGGCTGGACTGTCTCGAGGTACTTTGCAGTCGTGGAGGAAAGTGTAGGGACAGGCAAGTGCGGCAGTGAAACCTCGTAGCGGAGCATTGGGCCTGCACTGAGGTCTTCCTTGTAACCCGGAGGAAGCGCATCTGCTCGCCTTGGCGCAGATGACTTGAAGGAACGCGGCTTGGACATGGCTGCCAGTGATCTATGTGGCTGTAGATAGTTGTAGTGAGTGCGCAATCCAACCCATGAGGTGCTGTCCGGAGTTATTATGCAAATATGCGCGCGCGCGACTGTAGTCGCTACGTGGCACGTGATAACGGGATGTGCATGCACCGGAGTCGGAGACAGAGGCGTACCTTGCTCGCAAAAAGACGCAGGAGCGGTTGCATAGAGAATCACCACCGACACTGAGTGCACCGTTGAGTGCTGGAGCGAATTAAAAGCGCCCCAGACGCATGCAATGCAGGTTATTGAACCCTCTCACGTACCGTGCGGAAGGCCGAGCAGCGGCATTCCGTCTGAGGACCGACATCTCATTTCCTGCATCCTGACGAAGACGATCGTCCGTCCGGTAAGCCTAGCGTCCGAAAGGCTGAACGTATTCCAAAGCCCAGAACCTCTGGGGCGTACGAAGCATGACAGAAGCATGGTTGCTTCGTACAGCAAAAAGCACCCTAACAGAAGTGTCTCGTCACTTACCAGGATATCCGTGGACCGAGCCGAGAATCTCAACGGGGCTGAACTCTGGCGCAGCATGAATGACTTTGCAGTTGGCGGGTGTACGAGTGGGTGGGAGACTATCGAAAGCCTGCGAGCGTATCCGAGGACACAGAGTGTATTTGAATGGAGCTGCTGGAGGGGCGGTAGGCGAGTTGGCCGCGCTCGTCGATGTCGAGAAGGGCGGGGCCCCAGCCCACATGATTCCCCATTGCCAATTGGCGCTGGGCGCATCGGAAGTGCGCTTACCGTCGCCACCCCGCCCCCGCCGCAGCTATTTCCTCCCCTGATGCAGGTTCTGCGCGCTATGTAGCTCATTCTTGCGCGAGACCGTCTACGTTGCTTTGCCCTCAACTCGTCTGCGTCAGTTGTCAAAGCAGAAACGCGTGAAATGGATACTGGACGCCCAGGAGGGGGATCGCTGAGACAACGTCCAGAGTCAAAGTGCGTATTATACACCCAGCTCTCGGGAAGGACGCGGCGGGACGTGCCGCGCGGCATTTTGGACGGCGGACCTACCGAAAATGGAAGCAAGGGCACCATATCGGGTAAAGTTGCGTTAGGTCACCCTCTTAACAATCAGAGCCGCCCGAGCGTGCTTTATAGGCGTCGCAGGAGTTTTGTATCGTAGAAAGGCTACCTGACAGCCGCAAATACGCCACGCATACACTCGAATCCACGCGGAGACCCGAGCCGCTATATGTCGCACAACCGTAGCAAATGACAATCAGAATGTCCTTATCAGCTACGCGACGTTCTTCAACCCGTATCTTTGCCATAATAATTAAGTGATGGTCGTCGACGTTCAGCTGGTCTCATAAAATACCTGAAAAACATATCCCGAGAAGCAATTTACAGCTGCCGCTCTCTATACTCCGATGTCATCGACGTTTTACTCGCCGTTTCGCGAACTCAACAGTTATCACTATTTTATGGGTTCCTACCTCTACAGCCGCTTCCGGAACTCTCATCACTACAACAAAGTCGGTTGTAGAGGACTGGGAATTCGACCTTTTGCAGGACTTTGCATGACGATATTGGTGGCGCAATGAGCTCAATCATGTTGATTGATGACTGGCTCGTAAGAAAATAAAGGGGAGAAACTGTCGGACCGGGCGGTTCCAAGTCAGGCTCAAGTGTTGGCAGCGAGGTCGAACCAATGAACGGAAATCGTTGTCTCGAGGAGCTTTGCTTCTAAGAAGTCGGGAAGAGCTACAGCAGCGGTCACGAGCGAATGCTCATCGTGCCATGTTTCCGCAGCCAGTGCGGCGAGACCTTTTGGTGGGTGGCATTCGAGTCTGGGTAATGTTGAGTTGCTGGGCGATGCTGCTTTTTCTAATTGCTGAACTGCAACCGACATGGCACCGTGACCGTAGCAAAGTGTATGTCGAGAGGGCTTGAATCGAAGTCCAACACCAAGCATTGGGATGGTCACACAAAAGTCGACGGTTATCCAATCTTCAAAAAGCGACTTCAAGAAAAGCTTCAACACGACTATCCGCTAGCCTACCCTAAGTTCCTCCCTCCACCACACGTATTCTCCTTAATGCGATGAGATCGTTGCGACCCGGTTGAGCATGCGAGATGACGCCCCGCGACTCTGGCGGCACAGCACAGGCCAAGTCTTGTTGCCGCCCCAGACCGACGCGGAAGGCCAGCAGCATAAAGGAAATGGCAGTCATTTGGGTCCACATGTCAACCGCGATGAGAAACAGCCACGATCGCACGAAGAAGCAAATGATCCAGAACGCCATTGCCAGTCTGCGGGAATGTGAGCGCTAAAGGAAGGGAACCAACCACTGTAAGTCGGCAGACGTACGCGTTGAGCGCAACGCTCTGGACGAAGGCATACACGGCACGCTTCAACAGTGACAGTGAGCGCGCGAAGGAAGAAGCATTGCATCACTCACCCTTTGCATACTGCCCGATTGCGAATTCAATTCCCTAGTCACTCTCCATACCCGGAACACAATCAAAACTGGATCAACGTGGTGATGACAATGAACACCAGATGTATGTATTCGAAGAGGCTTACGCGTGCAATAGATTGTCGTTCTGGATCGACATCACATTCAGGACGGTATAAATCGTTGAACCGAGGAAGAAACACACGTGAATGAGAGCACAACGGCCCACGTCAACATTTGTGCAAACATGTTATTGTAGAACGCGCCGTCAGCTTTCAAATGTGTAAAGAAATAAATGCACGCCACTGCAAAGGCTGTTGTTAAAAGAATCAGTCTGTGCACCAGTTTTTTTATTTCAAAAAACAATTACCAGCGAACCCGCAAATTGTTAGTATGGGGAAAACGATGACCATTTTTTCCCTATCCCAGACAACGTACAGCTGCCAAATCTTCACATATAGTCAGTCCAGCACAAAAACATGGGACTGGCGATTTAACGCACGACCACCGCGTTCAAGATGGAACCAGCCGAGAATGATAGAGCCTCTTTCGCGGGAAGCGTTCCGGATGCCTCGTCCACAAAGGACAGAACGAGCTGCCAGTGTGCGATGTCTGCAGATTGCAGGGGCCGGAGAAGGCGCAACACGGTCAGAATCCAGTGCTGAGAACTCGGTCACAGGTGAATCGATTATACCGGGGCAAAGGTTGGAGCACATACAGCGGTGACGATCGCAAAGAGAACCGTTCCAACCCCAAATTCCCAACTCAAGTAGAACGCCCGTACCCCAACCCTGGTGGGCTGACGAGACCGACTTGCCAGAAAAAATGTTGAAATTGCATATAGCAAGAAGCCGTTTCCATACAAGAAGCTAGTGATCGCTGCACTTGTGACTTCGATCGGAACGACGGATTGCGTCGTCTCGACGGTGATGGGAGGTACAGCGAGTGCTATGTTCATCATTGTCTGTGTAAGATCGTTCGCACCCAGGATCTCCCGGGAGATATATACGTACTTATACCATTCCAGTGCCAGCAGCTCCAAACAAACCTTCGCATAGCTCAGTCGGCGGTAAAAATCGATGAGACAGCGATGAAGGACCGGAGCGCCATAGCTGTAATTGTGGTGTCTGCACGATTTATCGGAACCGACAATGACAGACTTTTTCAAACCATTCTCATGTCGCACTGCTTGAAGCAGCGAATTGTGATGAAGCCCTGCTCTGGACCAAAAAAAAACGCTGCTGCGAGCACATGTTTAGACTTGTAGGATGCCCATGAACTAATCGCGAATTGCTTACACCTGCTATCATTGCCAGCGACTGAGGTCCGGCTCCTTTGGCGCTGTGTGGCGAAATTACGTGGCGAACAAGTCTGTTGTCCAGCGTGGGCCTCAAGACAGTTCCCCGAGACAAATTAGTTATCTTAGCGCTTAGTCATGAACATACCGAACACATCGGATGAAATTGCTATATGCTCATTCATTCACCCCGGAACTTCTAACCTGAGACATGTTGGTTGTGGCTTGCCAGTAATTGCACGCTTGATAGTGTCACATCGAGTCCAAGCGGAAGATACGTTGATAGTAGGGAGCATACTTCCTGTCCTCGTGCACCAGGAATATGATCCGTCCTGGCGCACGTGTCTGAGGCAGACCTCGCATTAGCATGGCTTTTTTCGAGGATCAGCGGAGGCGGACGGTCCCTTATGGCTGGGTCTGGTATCCAGACATCATTACGTGCTCTGCCAAGCACAAAAAGTGGTCTGTAGATTCGTCATGTTGTCCACACCGAGGTATGCCCGAGGCAGCTCGAGCAAAGGTGCGAGTTCGGATGCCTTCACGTCCGTGCCATTTGCAAATGTAAGTTCTTTGGTGTAGTTTTGCGGTGCTGGTGATATTGAAGACCGGATCTATCGGAAAAACAACAGCTTTCTCACAACCAGGCGGTGATGATCCTCGTACGTAGGATGTCAACGGAGGAATACCGCACAAGTGGGCCATCCGTGAATTAATCATTCGAGATCTCCACATTGTGCGGTAAAACGCAGTTTAGCCGCTGATATTAGCGCTATATAGCGCTAGAGCTATAGAAACTCGTAAATCGACCCTGCTCGTCACGATGAACATGTTGAATGATCAATGTCATTATTTCAACGTCGTCAATCTTGTGGCTCTAACATACCTTTATTAATGCCTATGTCAGTAGCGAAGATATGACCCCCGAGCGAATTCTGACCGCACAAGGACAGCCAATCAACATGAAGAGATAATGACGAGCTTTCATTGTGAATGATTACGATGGCCGATGCGAGTCCGCCTTGCGATTGCGTCGTTCGGTTCCATGACTGTCCCGTCTTCAGTAAATGCATTACGTACCTCCTGTTGTGAGTCAGCGACTGGGGGGAGAATGCAGCAGGTACTCCGGGCTTTCAAGTTAATGGCCGTGGAGGCAGACGAGCTATAGCCTATAAGTGGATCGAATATTGTCCGGGCTTGTATCGCTCCACTACGTTCAGGAATTTCAATAGACATAATTCTACCACATGATCTCGTGAGTCGTGAGACTGCTTGAGTCGTTCTTCCTCCGAGGAGCTCAGCGCCTCAGGCTTAGCGTCCTCTCGTAGCTGTATCTAAGAACAAGAATGCCGTAGAACCTCACTTAGCGCCATGAAAGCAAGAAATTGCAACACTAACCTCCCACCGGCCATCTGCTCCTGCGTGCCAGTGCTTGTCGAACATGTAGCAAAGTAGTGACCCGCGGCAGATGTTCACCGGTCGTCGATTAGGCGTATGAAGTTCTCCAAGCCAAGAGTCGATTTGACTTGCATTGGCTCAGCTAAATGCTGCGGGCTGAGATAGGAACGCAATTCGCGTATGGAATAGTGTACAGAAAGTCATAGAAGCTAGTGAAATTGCAGTATTGGAAGTGTGAAATGTCCCCGGAGTCATTATCGCCGATCACTGCGATCAAGCCTGCTGCGCATCCTCCACTCGAGCGTCTAACACCCGGACCATCCTGGGCTCTGCAACGCGTATGACCTGTAAGGTATCATATATCGACAGTCAGCACCAACTTGTAAACGTTACTTTAGGTTCATAATCTGACAAGTAGGTAATCTGGTAGAGATCAGACCTACTTGTCCATGAGGCACTGCCAGGCTAAGCTCTCATTACAGGATCATTGTGAGCGCGCGCAGTGCGGTAGTCGAAGCCAAACGACCGTATGCTCCTCTTCCAAACCGCTTGTACTTCGTGTCGCCAGCGAAGGAACGCTCGAAGGTGTCCGCATCTTCCCTTCCTAGTGTGTCCCCATCATGATTCCACTCTCCGTGGATAAGAGCGGCCGCCTTTGCCCTTTTTTTACCCCCACATTCATTTCTTGCTTCGACCTCAACCATAACGATATCGTCCATCTTCTTCGAGCTAGTTGCGCCAGCCTAGTAGCCAGTAGCTCAGAACTTGCGGCTTGACAAACGAGCAGAAACGGCCATGCATCTATCCTCGAGCTGGAGGTCGCATCGGCGTGCTCACCGGCGTGCACGTATGGACTTTCACGTCCTACAGCAGCGTGACCCACCGCTCATAAAGCTGCCTTTCCTTATCCCATCCATCCCCGTCCTTGAGCCTCTGCTTTCCCCGTTGATCGGTGGCGAGCCGTGGCCCTCCGCAACCACTGTCTCTACTCAGGCCGATGAGACGTCAACTTCAACTGTGGCTGAAGCAGCAACCACACAGGTGTTGGAGACTGCGAGTCAGGCTCAGCAAGCAAGCATTCAGAAGCAGGACGCGGTCACCCAGGTGCAGAATACAACCACACAGGTGTTGGAGACTACGAGTCAGGCTCAGCAAGCAAGCATTCACGTGCAGGACGCGGCCACCCAGGTGCAGAATACAACCGCCCAGGTGCAAGCAAGCGCAACACAGGCGCAGGAGACCTCCTCCAACACAGCGCACACGACTGCATCTGAGGATTCCACTACGGACACGCCGACACCTCAGACGGCCGCAAGTCCTACCGCGATTGTGGAATCAACCACTCCATCTCTCGTTTCTATTGGGATTGGAGGTGACGAAAATGGTCTCGGCTCGGAGGCGACATCACTTAGCAGTATTGGTGTTCCTGCCACCAGCACTATTGATACAGGTCACGCATCTTCTCGTACTGGCAGTACAACAAATGACGGCAGCACAACAAACGACATCAGTTCTCTGAGCAGCGCGATTGGTGGGGTTGGCAGCTTTTCAAGCTCATCACGTTTGGCGACAGATCCTGCACCCTCTCCGTCAGTTGACGTAGCAGCCAACAACCAGGGTATTGGAGCATACAGCACCTTTTATTCCACATTGACCATCTCCGGGCACGTTGTCACGCAGTCCACGCCGGTCGGAACGCTGCTACTATCCTCCATATCTACCGCCGTACTATCAACATCCGGTCATGCTACAGGCGCGGAGGTCGGTGCGAGCGACAGCGGAGTCGCCACTTTGGCGACCGCGACTTCTGCTGCTGAGGCTTTGCAGAGCATACATAGTGGCAACGCCGTGTCTGCACACACCATGTCAAGTGCCAGCAATTTCATCGCAGGTGCTTCAGCGGTGTCGTCCCAAGCCACACTGACATCGACTTACTCACCTTATTCGAGTGCAGGTTCGGTCTCGGGCTCGAGGCCGGGCCCCGGGCATTCTAGCTCTGGAGGTGAGCCGTCATCTTCGTCGAGTGGTCCGACCTCCAGCAACCACCAGCTATCCGCTCTTGCAACACTTGGATTCATCCCCCTTTTTGTGCTTGCCTTCCTCCTCCTCCGTCGGCGAGGCATTGCACAACGTCTTGAGAAGCGGCGACCTTGGCTCTTTGGCCGAGACACAGGCGCATATGGAAATGCCGCCGTCGACAGCTCACGCTACTTCCATGACCATCCCGGTGCGAGCGTATCTCCGAGTCGAAGGAGCAGTTTCGGTACCGGAACAGCTCTGGATGCTGGGATATCGTCCGAACAGTGGGAAACATTCCCCACGCTGTCGTCAGAGACCAACTCCCGGTCCGCTCTGCCCAGTATCACAGTTCCGCGGCCGAGCCGGCATGTAGAAGTTGTCCCAGAGGTGGGAGAAGTATGCCCGAGCAGTCTGAATGGCTCTATTGCGGAGCCCGCTCTTGTTGCGACTGTCCACTCCGATCCGCTGCCGATAATTCGAAGTTCTGAACGCGATAGCTGGGAGAACGAAAGAGCGCAATCGGAGGCGGGGTCCCTAGTCTGGGAGGAATGGCCTACTGTCCCTGACAATTCTGTGATGAACCAGCGTAGCCCGACGCTTCCCACTCCGATTTCAGCGCGGCCTTTAGCTTCCTCCCAGAAGTGCATCTTTCCCACCCCGTTGCAAGATCATAAGCCGAAGAGCGTCAAGTCGGTGCAAAGCACCCGGGAGTCCATTAATGCCAATTCGAAGTACATGACAGCGCTCGAAAACCCGTTCTCTGACTTGGCGAGTGTGGGCATGGGTCTCGGCGCCGAAACGAGCACGGAGGATGGCTCGGACGCACAGACGGCCGATTCGTTCTCGACTGCAGATCCGGAGACTGCATCGCACTTTGCGCGTGTCGAGACGATCCGCAGACCATTCGTTCCAACGATGGATGACGAGATGTCAGTGCTGCCCGGCGAGACTGTGCGCATACTGCTGCGCTACGATGATGGTTGGGCGTATGCAGAAAAGTTGGGTAGTGGCCGGCGGGGGCTCATCCCGATCGACTGTTTGCGTATGCCTGAGGAAGACCTGTCCGCTTTCCTTGCTTCCAAACGCTTGAATAGTTATTCCGTAACTGATTCTCTGAAGGGGATCCCCAAGGACGTTGAGATTGATGCCAGGACGACGATTGGGAAAGCCCTTTGAGCCGTTCGTTCATACATATATGGTGAGTGATCTGCGGTGATTTATGAGTGCTATCACGAAGGAAGCTTTTCAACGATAATGACAGTTTTGTAGCTCATTGTACGTCCATCATTCGCGACTTCTATTGCGACATCCGCCACGACCTGTCTAAACCTCCCGCATCCGGTGGAACTTCATTCATCTGTAAAACAGTCCGTAATTCGCTTTCTTTGTTTGATCTTTCGCATGTACCCCTCGGATACCCTTCAGTGGTGTTGATAGTATGGATCCAGAGTTTTGTCCGTCTGTTGTTGGCTCTACTGTAACCAGTTTTCATATGCAGTGCACTTAGCTATGTGCTATTTATTCAAGTCGATTAGATGTCCTAGCTGTTATCGTTGAGTTGTCATAATGTTGTCATTGGTCACTTTTAGCACATATACGAGCAGTACGGGAATACATTCGCGTCGCTGTTGGTCTTCGAGTATCGCCCCATAGAACTTGAGTCACGATTGCTCTGAGGCAGAACGAGGCGTAGAACACGTATTTACCACGGTAAGTGCGTACAAAAAATGAGAAGAGCACGGGAGAGAATGTCAGCCCCATATACTACCCCAATTTCCGGCACTGGCCTCGCATCGGCAGGAGTCCCCATTGCGTCGTCTCGACGGTGATGGGAGGTACAGCGAGTGCCATAGTCATGTATGAGATCGTTCGCATCCAGGATCTCCTGCGAAATATATACGTACTTATA